AGTTAGAGGATGAATTGATTTCTGGAAACGGGGTCCGAGAAGGAAGTTATTAGCATAAAAGGAGGAAATCCATTGATCTAGAAAGGTAGCTATGTACAGTTGATGAGATAATAAATACAGCGAAGCTAGACAGTGAATTGATATCTACAATAGAAAGAAGATTGGAGAAGGAAATTATTAGCGTAAAATGAGTGAATAAATTGATCTAGAAAGATACCTATGTACGGTTGATGAGATAATTAATACAGCGAAGCTAGACAGTGAATTGATATCTACAATAGAAAGAAGATTGGAGAAGGAAATTATTAGCGTAAAGTAAGTGAATAAATTGATCTAGAAAGGTACCTATGTACAGCTGATGAGATAATTAATACAGCGAAGCTAGACAGTGAATTGATATCTACAATAGAAAGAAGACTTGAGAAGGAAATTATTAGCGTAAAGTGAGTGAATAAATTGATCTAGAATGGTAGCTATGTCGATGAGATAATTAATACAGCAAAGCTAAATAGTGAATCGATATCTACAGTAGAAAGGAGATTGGAGAAGCAAATTATTAGCGCGAAGCGAGGAAATAAATAAATGAATCCTTCGAGAAGAAAATCATTGGCGCAAAACTTGCAAGTAAATCGATCTGCGGAAAGGCGCTTCGATAAGATAATTATTGCCGCCAAAAACTGCAACAAATGGATCTCTTGGAAGACTACCCGCCTTGTCCTATACGCTTGCCAAGTATGAAATTGATCTCTTAAGAATTTTACGAATTCAATTAGTTACGGTAATCAATCGTGTTGATTTAAGGAGTAAGACGATACAAAATCGTGCTGGTTGCAGCTCTGGCTGAGCCATGATCGTTATACACAGTATGATTACTATAGAAATTGTCTAACTCCAGCGTTCTTTGCGACAGGTTGATGTAGAATTACGAAGTTTGGAGATAAAATAACCTCTGATATCATGATGCCTATCTAACGAGTAGGAAAGACTGGATAAAATTATCTGCAATACTGTATCCTACGTGCATTGTCATCCTTAATTTAACCACATGCAGTGCAAAATCATGGCCACAAGTGACATTCTTTTCTGTCAAGGGTAGATAGAGGTGTCGACCTTTATATCAAGCAATATTACCTGTAACATGGTATCGCGGATAAGAGAGTGATCGAACGCTGATTTCTGCCAACTTGACCTCATCTTGCATCTTTGACCTTACAATGATTTAATATCAAAAATTCGAAATCAACAGGAGTCTTGCTACGTTAAAATACAATTGATTAATTAATTAATGCAATTACTAAACGACTGGATTGGCATGGGGGAAAGAGAGACGCATCTGAATTAATTATGAGCTAGAATTGTAGTGGTGCACTCTATGATAGACCATTTTAGCTCTGTATTAGCTATTACAGTCTACGATGACAGCAGGTACCATCGATCTGGATGGTCATGATCATGGCAAGAACTGATGGCGATTAGAAGAAAATGGTGTGGTGTAGATGAATCTTCCACTATAGAACTCCACCAACGGAGCATTTCATCAATCTACTCCATTCGATTAGTCTATTTCGCCTTGATTGACGAAGACTCTATTGTGAGGCATGCATGATCTAATTTATCCTATTGACTACGGCATTCAATGAATAGTCTGGATCCACGTTGATGCATAGCGGATGATTGATTTGGATCCGGTGTACTTCCATTCCATTTCTACGAGCTTGTCGCGTACTTATCTGATAGATAAAACATTAGTCTACAATAGATAATTTTGATGTTATCTGCAGATTGGACAATGGCGAGAAAGTGTTGAGTGCATAGAGTGTCGTGGAGTAGAGTATTGCTTTCAATGCGCTAGATCTTACAGTACATTAAAGTTGCGTTTGCTGTACTCCTACAAGATGTAAAATACCGAGGGGCAGTGTTTATATTGTTAGAAGGTCAAGATGATCTCTTCAAATGTTGTTCAACACTGACTTGCCACTAGCACAACGTGATTGATATCATAAAGTACAGTAAGGCTGAATTTAGTCTATTCTTGCATAATGTAAAATGCAGGCAGGCAATGTTTCTATAGGGAGAATGATCGGTCAAGATTCAAAATGATATCGTCACATGTTGTTCAAGACTGGCCTGCAACATGTACGACGTGATTTATATCATTGTAGTAATGCACCCATATTTAATTATACGGATAGCTCTATTTGCTATAGTGAGGTTATTTTGATTCGATATTATCGTGAGGCTAATATTAGATGATAGCTAACTACTCTAATAGAAATTGTTGATGAATGAAGGTAGCCAGTGGACTCATTATGGTACAAGATTTATGTCGTTCGAAACATTATGTGGATAGCTCTATTTGATGAAGTTATTATGATTCGATATTATCGTGAGGCTAATATTAGATGATAAATAACTACTCTAATAGAAATATGGTTGATGACTAATGGTAGCCAGTGGACTCATTATGGTACAAGATTTATGTCGCTAGAAACTCTGTAATTGTTAAGATGCCCTTCGGAGAAAGGGCCTAGACGTTCATAGAAGAGTAGTGATATCTGAAGTAGAATAATTTCGATTGTAGAAAATAATGATATACCATTAGAGAAAATTATTTTGTTTGATGACTCATGTCTGGTTGTAGATGAATCAAGTTGTCATTAATCGATTAAACAAAATGTGCATATATAAGAACTGCAGAGATGAGTTCACGGAGGAGATGAGACTTCACTTCGCTTTGAGCTCGGAATACTTTTGATTCTACGCTAGATTCTTGTAGTAATTCATTATTGATCTACTATTGCTAAAACCTTGTAATAAGAGCCATTTAGAGAATACCATTGGACTAAGATAGTTATTGTGAGACGCATTTATTACAATTATACAGTAGAGCTTACTGTATGACTGCAAAATGCCAAAGGGTAATGTTTACATAAATAGGTAGAATGGCCGGCCTGTCAAGATGCTATTGTCAAACGTTGTTCAACACTGGCCAACAACATGTACTCGTACTACGTGATTTACTGCTCTTTTATAGTGATGGTGCGATCTCATTTACTCTCTCTATTCAAATCCTGGCAAAGAGTGAAATGGCGGTGTTATAGCGCGAAACTTTGAAGGGATTTACTCTTCAAAATCGCCGATCAAGCCCGCCTGCAGGGGTACTTTTCCGGCTTGATGAAGCTGACGTCATCGAGCAAGAGTAAAGTTTACAAATTGCAGTCTGACGGTAGAGTGAAATGACTAGGGAAAATAACGCCATCTTGGTTTTACGACAAGATCGTCGTTTGCTATCCCTCTCTCTTTCTCCTCTAGGGAGCCATTTTCAATGTCTTTTTGACGTACTAAAACATAATCAGCGTCAACTATAGTTGGCCAGCTTGTTCATCTTACTTAGTTCTAACTAGGTGCAATTGGACTACGCCATTGCTCCTGTCGTTGTCCTCTCACCTATGGCTTACTCAAGTCATAGCCACACAATCCACACTACGACAGTAAGCTTAAAGCGTGTTGTCTGAGAGGGTGACCGGGATGGAAAGTGACTTGGCAGTAGGCTGAAAGCAACCTCAGGTTACTGGGGTGAAACTATGAAAGTGACTTGGTAGTTGACTGACACTACCCCTCCTCAGACTACACTGTACTCTGTACAGTACTGTAGTTAGTTCTAACCGAGTGCAATTGGACTACGCCATTGCGCTATGGCTGACTCAAGCCATAGCCACTCACTCCACACTACGACAGTAAGCTTAAAGCGTGTTGTCTGCGAGGGTGACCAGGGTGGAAAGTGACTTGGCAGTAGGCTGAAAGCAACCTCAGGTTACTGGGGTGAAACTATGAAAGTGACTTGGTAGATGAATGACACTACCCCTCCTCAGACTACAGTGTACAGTATCTCTGCGTCCTGGTCCTCAGCACTGTACAGTGTACGTACACTGGAGAACCAGCCGGTTAGTCTTACTGTACTGTAGTTAGTTCTAACCGGGTGCAATTGGACTACGTTATTGCGCTATGGCTGACACGAGCCATAGCCACTTACTCCGGACAGTAAGCTTAAAGCGTGTTGTCTGCGCGGGTGACCGGAATGGAAAGTGACTTGGCAGTAGGCTGAAAGCAACCTCAGGTTACTGGGGTGAAACTATGAAAGTGACTTGGTAGTTGAGTGACACTACCACTCGTCAGACTACAGTGTACAGTATCTCTGCGTCCTGGTCCTCAGTACTGGTTAGTCTTACATACAGTACTGTACACTGTACAGTGTACACTAGTATAGTAGTTTTAACCGGGTGCAATTGGACTACGCCATTGCTCCTGTCGTTGCCCTCTCACCTATGGCTTACTCGAGCCATAGCCACTCCACACTACGACAGTAAGCTTAAAGCGTGTTGTCTGCGAGGGTGACCGGGATAGAAAGTGACTTGGCAGTAGGTTGAAAGCAACCTAAGGGCGACAGGGGTGAAACTGTGAAAGTGACTTGGTCGTTGAGTGACACTACCCCTCCTCAGACTACAGTGTACAGTATCTCTGCGTCGTGGTCCTCAGTACTGTCCACTGGAGTCAACAGTGTACAGTACTGTAGGCTGGAGAACCAGTACCGCTACAGCCCGTTACACCCCAAGACACACTTGACACTAGGGATGAGCGTCATCGTCTGTCAACTGACCTCTTCCATGGGTGCGTGGTGCACCTGACGCTTGACCTTGCAGTGGAAACCATGGTAATCAAACCGTGTTTCCATCCCCTACCCTGTGTGGTTTGAACACCCCTGGATCGCCCACCCTGTGTGGTTTGAACACCCCTGGTCAAACTACACCCGTCGATTGACAGCGAAGAGCAAGCCATTAGCGATCCATTCCGTGTTCAAGTGGAAGGGGAGTGGAACTTGTCTTGCAAGACATGAAGACATTCAACAACTTGATTTTCACTTTATTGCCAGTATTTTGTACCTTGTTGAAACATTATTAAGCTAAACGATCATCGAATGTATCCATCAACCCATGGACATCATGAATAACAATACAACTGGTTCCGTTTTTCCCACCATCGATCCTACCAATTCGACCATCGATTATACTCGCCATGTTATCCTCACCGTCTTGACCATCGTCTGGACTATTTATGTCTCCTACTATAACTCTCGCGTGATGGGATTAATCGTCACTTGGATCTTAAATCGAGCAGTTCACTATGGCGATTTTAGTATTGGTAAGTTGGAGTACAACATCACTCACTACTATACATGGTAGGCGTACAAGTGTGATACTGTCGTAGTTCAATCTTGTTTTGCCTGTCTGGTTTGAATCGATCTTGGATCGATATGGAACCAACAACAACACCAATCACTTTGGATAACATAACCCCACTCGTCGACTGGTTCCAATGCCTTAGTCGATTGATGTTGTCCACAGTAAACCAGTTGCAATCCCATCATCACCTTTGTTAATCTTGATATCGACATGATTAATAAAGTGACTAGCGGCGTGAATATCTCGCCGTACTTGAAGACAACTTGCCGTGATGGACGAGCTGCATCCAATGGACAACAATCATCAGTGGGCCCTTGTTTATAAATTGACTGAAAGGAGAAAAAAAAAATCACTTACTGTATCGGTAGACAGGCGATGAAATAGGATTACTTTGTAAAGTCAACACGCTAATAGATAGACTAGAAATAGGCTTGTACTGGATTGAATGAGTGATATAACGTAGACATGGTGGAGAAAAATTCACGCAATAGTAGGTAGTGTGTAATCGACTGGAGTTGAGTGGTAGGAGTCGCTATAGACAGTCCTAGCAAAGTAAACTACGTTCAATTTCTTTTTCGATCATTTATCCAATCCATCATCCGATCACTCCAGACCATACTCTAATCAATAGTCATAAAAGTAAGATTGAAGCAGAAAGGGAGAGACGATGAAATAAAGCATTGATCTTTGTTCAACACAAATCAACATCACTTGTACTTTAGCCGGAATGATACAGTAACAGTCATACTATTTCACATCACGTTCATCGCCAGCTTTGACTGTCCATTCGAAATTTTCTTCCAAATGGAAATTAACACCGTAGGAAATGAGCCTTTTATCCATATAATCTCTATCGTCAGCCGATCGTTGACTAGATTAAGATTTACTTACCTTCTCAACTTGTTGACTCCAAGATCATGCCGACCGATGTCAATAAAGCGTAGATGGTACGCTGTGTCAATACAAAGTCAATATTATTGATAGTGGAGCTGTAAGTACGGTAGCACTTTGGCAAAGTGAAATTAGTCAGAACGCACTACATTGAATACGCTTAGTCATGATGTTGAAATGCGAAAGCTATCAAGGTGAGTCCATTTCAAGAGGATTTTGTGGCCAAAATCTTGCTGGAGTCGATGTAGTACTAAGGCGTAAACCACGTAATCTGCATCGTTCTATAATCAAGCCAGCTTGAATATCGACACCAATCATCCAAATCTAGCAGATACTGTAAACAGTGCAATCAATTGACCGATGTCATAGCGTTAAAATAGATCATCCTAAATGAATAACTTCAATTCGAATAAATATTGAATGTCGACACTGATCATCAATGTCTAGTAGATAAACAGTTGAACCAATTGGTCTATATATAGGAAACAGTAGGGATATCAAGCTCATCACACTGCTTGTATCTGCCATGGTAACATTGCTGCTTCTATTTCAATTTTCAGCCGTTATAATAGATCATCCTAAATTGATATCCTCAATGCGAACGATATTGAATCTCGACACTGATCATCGATATCTAGCAGATATAGAGTTGAACCAATTGGTCTATATATACAGACGTAATAGTAGAGATATCAAAGTTATCACACTGCTTGTATCTGCAATTGTAACATCACGGCTTCTTTTTCGATTTTCAGCCGTTATAATAGATCATCCTAATTTGATATCCTCAATGCGAACGATATTGAATCTCGACACTGATCATCGATGTCTAGTAGATAGATAAATAGTTGAACCAAATTGGTCTATACATACGTAATAGTACGGATATCAAGCTCATCACTGCTTGTATCTGCAATGGTAACATCAATGCTTTTATATCAAGCGTTAAAATAGATCATCGTAAATTGATATCCACAATGCGAATAATATTGAATCTCGATATTGATCATCGATATCTAGTAGATAAACAGTTGAATCAATTGGTCTATGTAAAGTACAGTAGGGATATCAAGCTCATGGCGTTGATTGCATCCGCAATGGTAACATGCCCCTTCTATTTCAATTTTCAACCTTTAACATAAACCTTTATAAATGGATATTCTCAATTAGATAAGCAGGTGAACCAATTGACCAATGTAACAGTGACTTTGATGCTGTCTGCAATCATAACATCTACGCTTCAATTTTCAACTATTCGAATAGATGATGATAAATTGAAAGCCTAAAATCCAACTACGTTTAATATTGACACCGATCGTCAATATCTAGTAGATTAAAAAGTTGAACCAATACAACAGTGACTTTGATGGTATCTGCAATATCATAACATCCTATGCTTTAATTTTCAACTGTTCAAATGGATCATCGCAAATTGAAATTCTATAATCCAATAACGTTTAATATCGATAGTGATTATCGATATCCAGTAGACAAGCAATGGAACCAACTCACTGATAGAACAGAGCTATTGTACCGATCGAACTCATCACATTGCTAGCGTCTGCAATCATTACGACTAGACTAATATTTTAATTTTGAACTATTAAAATAAAGGATTGGAAATTGTAATCGATAGATATATTTTCAATACTGACAAGATATTGAGTAAATGTTGTTGATTTTTACATTGCAGGTTCTGTCTCTGTATCATTCCTTTCCGGAAAAATTATGTTTCGAGCCTTTCGATTAGTTACCAAGGACTATTCAATTAGGTAATAGTATAGTAACTAGCCACCATTACCATGATCACAAAGTAGTATGCATCTGCTAAATAGGAGAGTGCTAATCACGATCAAGATGCTATTGTAAAAACAATCGTTGTGATTTATCAATGCTATTGACTTGTTGACGTACAGTATACCCAAATTACAGATTTAATGGCATAAATGATCGATATTATTCTTGTCTTTTCGATCTTGTTTTAGAATTGTCGATGGATACATAATTTTTAGATGGTGGGCTTTTATTCGCTTAATGAGAAGAGAGAGGAAATATGGTAATTTTTTTCTTGTACAGTAGTCTTAGGACGTTTTACAGTATACAAATTTACTGATGGGATACGTGCTATCGGCAAGTGTTCTTTTCATATCCTTCTTTGCAAATATAAAACGACATGTCAATATCAACTAAACATGAATATCATACAACATGACAAATATAATCGTTATATAAGTGATTCTGATAAAGCTATACCTTGAACTGTAAAATAAGGCTAATGCAACTAGTTTATGATGAAGTTGAAGCTTTTCAAGGGCTTATTTTTGTCATTTGGTATCCTTTAACAGAACATGACTTATCTCAATCGAGAATTTATGTCGTATTGAATGGTTTTCAGTTCCATGTCTATAACAGGTAATTTGAAACTCTTTCCCTAGTCTGACTACTAGTTTTATTCCTTTACGCGTACTGTGAGGATGAACTAGCAAATTGAGAAACATCTACAAGTGATTTTATCAGTTATTAAATAATCATACGTAATTTCATACCGTGGTTGCGCGACTTGATTTTGTGTCTACTGTACCTATGCTTATGCAATTCTATTTGGATTGAATTGTATGCACTGCAATGCTAGAAAATAGAAATACACGTAGTTGATCTAAAATAGTGCAACATAGTGTCCATTTTTCTAATTTTTATTGACTTAATTATGCAATATTATTTTAATCATCTCTGAATAGATCCAGCGAATATGATAGACTGTTTAAATTGTTTACTAGACAATATGATCTGGAAACCGGCGCAGGTTGTATTTCGTTGTATAGTATAATGTAAATAGAATGAAATCAAGAATATCGACTAATACACAAAGATTAGGATGTCACAAGATAGGGTATTAAACTGATGTTGTGATATCACTCTTTCAGGCAATAAAGACTCTACAACAAGTACTCTATCACACCACAGTTCAGTTGAAAGGTAACTTAAGCTATAACAAATAATTGTACTGATAATTAATCTCATTCACATAAATCAATCACTACATAAATTTCACTAATTCACATATAATTATGGCATTAATACCGTGTTTAAAGTACTATACTAGGATTAATACAATGACATCATTAATTTTTGTTAATATATGCATGTGTAGTAGGATAATATTGTATATACGTATTTCTATTATTGTAGTAATTTGGAAAGTACCAAAGAGAGCTTTAATTGGCGTGATCTAATACCTGCAATAAAATTCGATATCACTGCTGTAAGTTTATTTACTTAGCGTCTTCAATTTGAGCTAAATTTAAGAATTTTCATTAATAAACATTTGAAATCAAACCGGAATTATGATAGGGACGAATTAGTTTTGGAAATTATTTAATGCCCTATACGCTACATGCTAGATTTGAATCTGCTTCGTGTGTCTATTTTACAACGGAGGTAAGTGATTATAGAAACATATGTTATACACTGGATCATAATAGTTAGGTAAAATTTTATCCTTTTAATCTCCATAAATTGTAATTTCAAATTTTTTTATAGCCTGCATCAAACTCTGACTTATATACTCATGTCTGCAATGGCCAATTAAAAGCTGTGAGAGTTATGTTTTCACCAAGTCCGGAATATTTGGAGTATTTAGAGATGTCAGTTTATTTTGTAGTACTATTATACATGAGCTAAAGTAATTTTGATAATAAAGTAGTGTTGTGTACTGATGCCTTACGTATGTTTTATTACGGTAACTATACGCGCCTATTGATGGAGCAGGCCTCCGCGAAATATGGGTGAAAATAGCTTTGAAATTCTCAATACACGAGACATATGGGTTAAATATTATCAAGATAAAGCTGGTACGTCGTTAGCTACCAATTATCGTAGAATAAAACTTTGTGGTCATGTGACTCATACTTCATTAACAGCAGTAAGGATTTACTTATAGCAATATATCTGCAATATTTAGGTTATGTCCCATATGACGGTTGTGAAGAATCTAACAGGAGTAATCCTGCGTGGGGTATTGATGTCGAATTCGGTAAAGATACCTCTATACGTTATGGGCCGTGGGTTCATAGGCAAAAGTAGGATACAAAAATCATATGCTAAATCGCAAATAGAGCAAATCTTGCATGTCTGTAACATGGATATATTTCATACTTGCTTTAGGGATGCGCTGCAACATTTCTTTTATCCTAAAGATTACCAAAAGGTGTCCGTTAGTAATGAACATCAGCCAGGCAGTATAAGGTTAATTATCTTATAAACTAATTAGATAAAATAGGCTCAATTTTTATTGTAGTAATTGCTAGAGTCTGATAAAATTTTAAACATTTTGACAGGACGTTTAGACAATTTGAGATAGGGTTATTCTTCAGAGATGATGCCACTATGGATGTTTTGTTCTCAAAGAATGAAGTGAGTATTTCATAAACCCAACGCACGTTATTGTTGAATTATAATTTTATATCATTTATTTTATTTATTATCAGGAAATATTCGCAGTTTACTTTTGTTTTGCGCGTGGATCCTGTTCTTCTATTTCGATTCCATTAGTTTGTTCCGATAATGGCTATTCTACAATTTCAAAAGGAACAATTCTTAATTTAGAGGTTTATACTAGCTTGGAATACAGGAATTTTTTAAAATGCGATATTTTCAACGTAAGCCATAGCTGAATACCCTTATTTACCGTAGTAATATTATCCCATCTTATGTCATGGTAATATTCTTGGAATATTCTGTATCTTGCAGTTTAGTACCGATTTTCATTTTCCAAGATGGTGGAATGATGAGCAACAATGGACGTGCGATTTAGGTTTTCATAAGATCACTTGGTATTTTATATTTGCCCATAAGAAATTTTTTCAAGGTTGATAATTTTCATAATGTTATGCTATGTTATATGGTGATAATCTATTTAGTACTTATTTGAATTTATTTATATCTTCAATTTCTTTCACGCCGATAGATATTATCAGCGACTTTTCGTCAAAGAAATGCCCTGATTTATACGACTTTTCACCATATACTATGAATCTCAATATAAGCTTAAAAGACTTTGAAATGATTTGGCTTGCAAACATGAATAACTGGATTGATTGCTTTTCGCAATTTCCAGAAAACGGTAAATCTAAACTATGCATATCTGTAATAATTGATAATAATAATTGCGGTTCTATAATTGATACGTAGTACTCTTCTAATACGGTTAAATTATGCGTAAATACTAGCTGAGCTGGCTATTTGCGGTCGAATGATGGATTTATCAATGAATCTCCCGTTCACGGAATATCTCCCGGAAAGACAACAGATTGGAATTACAGTACAGGTATATATATATATATATATACCAATAGATGTAAATTTTATTATATTCATCGATTATTGTCGATATCAGATGAATACTGACACATATTTATATTTGATAAAATTCGCACAGGTCGATAATGCTGTGGCCAGGCTTTACATTCCTGAGTGTAACACATCTCGTCGTAACTTTATAAATTTGGCCTATAATTATGAAAAACTTTATTCTATGAAATCACGTGACTCCATTTCTGACGCATTTCCATTTGGTTTGTATTCTATAATTTTAACAATTATTTCATTATCGAATAAGTTTTATTATTATTTCACTGTTGGATAATTTCATTCTTTTAAAGTATTTCTTATCATTTTCACCGTTGTATAAGTTATTTATTTTAAATATTTCTTATTATTACAGAAATGCAAAGTAAATCTATTTGGAGTAGAATAGCGACAAAATCTGACGGCTGGATAGATTGCTGGTTTATCCCCGTACTGGCTGCTGACGTTTCTTATATTTATCACCCGGAGCCTATTCAGCCTGACTGGCTTCGTAAGTAACTCGTCTTGTGCGATTTATTCCGAGTGTTTAATAAAGATATGTTATTAACTATTCGTAATCTTGTAGCCTACGAATTGAGCGAAAATGAACCGGATGTCAATGTTGATCCATTATCATCTTTCATGAATAAAAGTCCAAATATCATGAAAATAGTTTTTGATATCGGTGGTATTAAACCAGGAACAGAAAATTGTACTGGATCAAAGCTCAGACTATTTGGCTCGTTTATTCACTTTTTGTTAAATGTTAAGGTAGATAGCATAAAAGATAGTATAATACTTAAAAAAATTAATAAAATGGTAGATACAATAGCTATACAGTAGTAATACAGTTACCAATGTCTACCTACCATTGCTAAATATCATTGTTTTCTATTCTGTTGAACAGGGAAATTATTTTGGGCAGTATCAGAAATTTTTCCCATTTGATCCATATTTTAATGTCGAAGATGAAGATATTGAAAATTTTACATTTGAAAGCAGTTCTCGGCCTTTTACAGTTTTATGCTCTGTAAATATTTACGATGTTGAAGCTGATCTAGTTCAGGTAAAGCCACATACAATTTTTGGCAACTGACCAAGTTAATCTAATGCAATACATACATTCTGTTTTTTTACTTATTGTTTGTCTAAAAAAAAGTCGCTAATCATATCATCAATTAGATTGGTTGCAATATATGTATAAATGCGCTAAGTACGAATTGTAATATCAAATAATGTTCGCTATCAAATTTAATGCAGTATTGTGAAGATTTGTCTGAAATTCCTAAAGTGACTATCAGTAAACTTGTAGTCGAAATTTCAAAAGAATATAAGGAAACCCGCATTCAAGTAATATCAATGCCAATGATTATTAATGTCACGGACAATGTTCAGGTCTGTAGTTCTGTAAACAACATATTACAACAATATTAGGGTATATTTAATTTGATACTATTTTTGTGCTTGTATTCTTGAAAATTAAAAAAATAGCATATTTTTAGAGATGCTAATACGAAAAATTCGATTCTATACAAATTTAGCGACCTTCGCTTTATAAAGACATGAATCACGGATTTTTGAGTATAAACGGTTTTCATTTGCGTGTCCATGCCATGTTTTCTGGTGAAGGAAGACCGGTAGGTAGTTCCACAACGGAATATGCGTTCATGCTAGAGGCTAAGGTAGAAAGCATCACTGGTAAACTAACTACACCTCAGGTATATGTGTGCTGAAGATTTTCAAGTGACAATATATACAATATTGATTATTATTTATTAAAATACTTTATTATCTGCATCTTTCACTATTGCAGGCAATATCGGTCGTTAGCTTTTTCGAAATTTTCATACATTTCCTTAGCAACTCTGAGAATCATCTTCAGTCGACAGTTCCATCGTTATGTCAGCACGATCGCATACAAAGTGCTTGTTGCGTTGAACGCGATAAAGATAATAATAACAACGAAAATGATAACGCTAGCAAATGGTCAGATTTCGAATGCCCTGGAGAAGATGAATTAAGATATTATATGATACGCTTAGGTATTGATCGAATCCAAGTGCAACTCGTAGAAACTGGCTGTATTTGTGATCTACAGGTAAATGGTGAACGCTAAGATTTTGTATGAAACTATTACCGTTAGCAGTATTTGCAGTTGCAGTTCATGTGAGTTTTGCAATAGTTACGCTGATGTAATCATTTGCTATTATCTTTCTTATATTATAGCTTAGCCATTTACGCTTGTCCCAGTGCAGTTTGCACAGCCCCCATATGAACACTGGTAGAAGTGTTGTGGTTAAAAATATTACTCTGAAACAATACTTACGATCTGAATTGATGGATGGTGCTGTGGCCCAGGCAGTAAATCGAGATAAAAATGAATGGTGGTTAGAAGTTGCAACCGTAGTCATTGGCCCTATCAATGTTGACATGTCGATAAGTATTGCGAAAAGTTATCTAAATTCATATCAGGAGAAATGGTTAAGAAGACATGATAGGAAATCAAAGCGATTATATTTTTTGTGGCACAAGTCATATTCCAGCATAACAAAGATTAAAGTCTGTGGATGTCAAGGTGGCTGTGTGTTCTTTGATAAGAATATAAAAAATTGTAACTTTTTGCGATTTAATATCGATCCGATAGTAAATGAAGATGAAGATGCCGCAACTAATAACGGTAAAGCAGACTTAGAAAGTGGCTCATCAGTGAAAAATGTACCCTCACCAGGTGATGAGGTAACAGCAAAGACAGAAACGGAAAGTGGCGAAGTTAGTTTACGTAGCAGTAAAAGGGCATCTAATGAGTATCAAACTTTGAATAGATCAAAAGGAAGTAGTAGATACAGTAATGCAGATGGAAGTGTTAATCGTTCTGTCTCTTTTGAAAGAAAAAAACCTCAAGCTCAACACTCACAAAGTTCAGCCTTTCGGCCTTTAAACAAACAGATTAGTTTTACATCGGATACGGGAGATTTATTCTCCAATAGGCGATCTATTATTGCTGATTTTGAGCAGTCATTTTCCAAACAATTTAATCTTAAAAACCGCGGAGAATCATTCGTATCATGTGACTCTGGCTCCGATTCATTAAGTTTAGCCGATTACACTGACAGTCTAAATACTCTCCGTCACGCGAGATCGCTGTCAGCTGCTACTGTCGATACTTTCCGCACTGCTCCCTCATCGTTTTCGTCATTACAATCACTAGCTCAAATGGATGATAATGATGATGTTGCAGATGTAACGGTAACACATGAAAGGATCAAGGCAGAAATAATACATGAAGAATCAATAGAAGATGACATTGATGGAAATGAAGATACTGTAGTATTTGGAGTAAACTCAGTATCTTTCGATAGAAAAGGAGTAACTCGTCGACGGAGCAAAAGTAATTCAAAACAAGATGATGGGCACATAACAGATTCATTTTCTTCTATCTATCATTATTATGTTGTAAGCTGCAACTGTAGTAACAGGCCAGATGATAATACTGATGGTGAAGAGATCATAGATTTAGGCTTAGGTGAGCCTTATAGCTTCAAAGCTGTTGGCGATCGTACAGCTAATATACCATTACTCTTTCATCGAGAATCGAAGGTAAGGGACTACGTCATCATCAAATTTTACTTGACAAACATATAATAATTTATCCTTTGACTATAGGAATCGCAGGTGATAACTGATAATAGTAGTTCCGATATGTTAAACGCCTTAGAAGCTGACTTAGAACCGGAATGTAGCAGATCAACAATCATACTAGATATTCCTGAACCTATTTCCATCTTTATCACACCATTTGTAATGAAAGCCATTGAATGGTAAGCGTTGAAAGTGATCAAAGTTGTACTTAATTCTTTAACGCAACATGTTGTATATTATATCTTGATTGATTACATTTCAAATAATACGGCTGAATCTTTGACTTAGTTATACAAAACCGTTGGTGCCGGTGTTGCAGAACTTACACCCATGTTGTGTGCTTAATAAAGCACATTCGAAGTGTATTAATGACACATTAATGAAAAAGAAACATTTGGATCATAAATTAGCAACACAATTAAAATGCTTTGTATCGATAAGAGGAATTGACATTGCATTTTATCAAGCATTTTTAGCAGAAAAAATAGCTTTATCTGAAGGTACATTCGCATTAACTTAAATCAACTGCCGTAAGGCAATAGATTCAATAAACTTTATACAGGCGTCATTAATATTTTCATGATATTATTGCCTAGGGTATTAAACATAGATATTTTGGATTTGATTTTGAATTATAGAACTTATCGCGAGGGAGTCTTTGCATCAAAATCATGCAAAAAGTCTTCGATCTTCTGGTGCATCTCTGCTTGCTCTTAGCTTTGATAGAGTGAAAGGACAAATAAGTCATATACTTCGAAATCGTAATGTTGATTCTAATGTAAACAACGTGAATGATAATGACTTTTTAAAAAATGAAGCAGATGAAGATGTTAACAACCAGACCAAAGCACTATCCGGTCCTTCTATTGTTTTAGAGGAACAAGTTGCAGAGCTTAGCTCTAACCGTTTGCACTGTCAACTTCGTCGTTTACCAGTGGGAACATCAGATGACTTAGCAATTATCAACGGCTCTAAAAGTATCATTGCGATACCGGAAAATGATTCAAGGGTTTATTTTGTTCCCTCTTTCAACCGAGGTATTGATATAGATACCGAAGAAATTACCAGTGAGATAACCAAGTACAGAGATGGATGGATTATGGTTGAATTTGGTATAGAAGGTTTTACGGCGAAAGGTGGTCGAATTTTCGGTCTGTCAGTTAGTGAGGTGATAGGTACTAGCGATAAAGAGCTCAATTTAAATCTTGATAGTTATTCGTCCAGTGATTATCTGTCAGATGCTGAAAATGTAGGTACTGTCGGTGATAAAGCATCTAAAACCGTTCTAACATCCAAAGCAAATGGTATAATGCAGCTTAATCATGTCTGGTTCAATTTTGCATCTCCAACACAACCTCGAAATCTGCATTGGTCACACCAGTTTAATCTTCTTACCACTGTCATTCCAGCTACATCGGCCTGGATTAGTACAGCATCAATATCAGAAAGTTCAATAAGGTTATTATTGTCACGTTATAACTGTCGCATTCGAGCTGTATTCGCCTATTTAATGACAGAATGTGTAGAAACAGCTGGACGATACTTACCACTAAGGGTATGTTCATGTTTAATTATGCAGGTATTGTAATATCACTTTATTGTACTGGCCATAAATTGATCTTATCTTTGATTTTGTTATAGTATGCTGGATTAAAGCTAACTGAAAGCTCAAATTGGTTACAAGATAATGAATGTTGCCAGTTATTGTATATTCTAATTCATTTCATGCCTGATGTTGATAGTAAACGTATGCTTACATCATTAAATGAAGATTATGTTCCTAGCTTAAATACTCTCCGTGGTGGATTGTTAGCGCTAGTACGCCAATGGAAAGCTATCCTGGTGAGACCTGGACGCCCAGAAGCGTGTAGAAAAAAAGTATTGGACTCCACCGGTAAAAAATATGGTTTAGTGCCTGCAACTGATACTGTTGATTCCTCGGGAATGCCACCTGTTTCATTGAGCTTTGTTAGTTCTACTTCACTTTACGATGGTGCTGAATCAAGCAGGCCTACCACTAATTATGAAAGTCATGACAGAAACGAGGCTACTGTGGGTGCCAATAAATTTGCTAATTTTGTCGCTTTAGCGATGGAAAAACAAAAGATGGAGAAAGCTACTCCTTTAAATCCTGCACTTGAAACAGTACCTTCTACTAGTTTACATCGTATTTCAGAAGACTTAAGATCATCTGCTGAAGATATAATTTCAAGGATTCCATCAAAATCTGGCCAATTAGCACATTTAAGTTCTCTTGGATCTCTAGATAGTGGAAAATATCACCATACTGAAGCCGACAAGTTTTCGAACGAAGAAACTGATATTGAAGCATCAAAAGATGATCAATCTGTGAAAGATATAAATGAAAAAATTAGCTTTCCAACAACTGGAATACGACTTACGGAAGCCACTGTGGTATTTCGCTCGCTATTACGCTGTATGGCAATTGATACAGGCGATTGCAGAGATGAACCGTATCGTAGTACTTTATCATTATCTGGCGAACTTAGATTGCTTAGTGTCTATGTTGTTAGTTCTAATACAGTATTTGATGTTAATACGTCTTCATCATACGATAGTGACAACGTTACTGAGCCAACTGACCATACACATCATGTATCGTCAGTATTTGTTTGTGAAGAGTTTCTTCTAGACCTTTTTATGCATCAAGATCCGGTAGTTTCCTTAAATCCGTTATATGAGACAAGTATGGCGAATAAATTTGACAAGTCTACATCTGGCAATCCTATAGGTAAACAAAAAGTGGACTTAAAGAATCGCTGGCTAATAAAGTTAGAAACTAAAAGAATAACACATGATCTTAATCTATCTTTATTGCGTCTTATTCATCATTTAACAAATATGGTTGAGCCTTTACAACAGTACAGGAAAGAAATATGGGATGATCTTGTTGATAGCTCGCCAGTGCTGCCGGGAGATAGGCTTAATAACCAACGTGTAAGCATTGTGTCAACAAACGTTGAAAATTTGCGAAGGATAGCCACAAATCGCGTTTGGCTAACCATGTATAAATTATTGGATTGCTATTCCGCTATGGGGGTTTCTGAAGGAACTGCTGATGCTGAAGTAGCGGCTAAATTAGGCGCTGGCACATTTCAGCAACGACTTCGAGCAGCAAGTTTATCCACTAAAGTACCTGAAACGCCTGATGTAGCCAGTATACGAAGACGCGGTATAAGATTGCGGTTATTTAGTGAAGCTGCAGAGGACATGCCAGAACGTAGAAAAACTACAGCTGTTCAATACTTACGACAGCTTCATGCTGCTGGTGTCGAACGTGTTGATCCAATGTCGGTGATTTGCGTTATTAAAGTGCAGGAAATTAGTGTAACTGCCAATGTTGGAAGATTACATCTGAAAGCAACAATCGCGAGAAGTCATTTTTCTGCAACTTACCGAATGAAACAACCTGTCGTAATTGGTGTCGTTAAGAAGCCAAAAACAAGAAATGGTACAATAAAATATGGTCTTCTAGATATATTACAACATTATTCCATTATTATCGCATACGTATCATTCCATTTATTAAAAATAAACTAAATTATTTAAATTTCTACCATAAAGATCTATTGCATTCCACCCATTCCTCATTTGTCGGAAATGTGGGAGATACTGAAATACTTCTTCTGGAACTAGAAAAGAAACAGGCTAAAGAGAGGTATCAGCCAATACAATATGCGAATAGAAGATAATACTTTACTTTAGAATAAGAGTCTATCAATATCTTGACCGTTTTGTGCTTAATATGTCTAATTATTGATACAGTCGAGAGTATCGCCGCCAATTTTGTTTATAGTATCTATAGAAATTTGTTTCATATCTTGAAATCTGATCAGTTACGAAATTAGCAAGAGTATAAGAATTCTATGATGTTTTACATTTTTGGTAGTCTACGTTACGAAACCCGATCATGTTAAACTAAATGATTTATCTCATTTCAATTTTATGAACACGAACATCATAGGATCATTGTTTGTTGCAATGTCAACGCTTCTAAATTTCTTTTGTCGTCCATCACGCATACTGGTAAAGTTTCTAAATCTCGCTATCGTAACAAACATTCCGGAATAATTTTTATTGGTGCTATGTTACTGGATATTCCACAACATCCGGCATCTTTGCAACATGTGGTAGAAAGAAGTACTCGTACAATTACGCAGACCATGTCAGAATTTTATTCCTCTAATAGGAATGATATAATAAGCAGGTATTAACCATAAAATGATTCCGTATTAGTTGATATACTACAGCCAATAATTTTCTTGTTTGATCTTGACTAAGATCAATAATTACTTCCTAATGTTGACATCCTTGGCCTTCTTTAATAATGATTTACATGATATTTTTAGATCAAACGATATAAGGTCACTCCTCAAACCTACAAGTCAAAGGAAGCACACAGATACGCCACAACAGTTAAATACTGAACATAGTGCTGTATCAGCTTATTCTAAAAAAGGAAATGCCAAAGTTAGTAGTGAATGGCCAATAGAAACTTGGCAATTTAGGGTTAATATTAGCAATGTTGTGCTCGGTGCTGCGTTACTGCCATCTTTACGCGGGGAATATAAGGTAGAAATTTATCTGTGTTTTTGACATTAACGAGTTTTCTTTCAACTGGCATATTAAATATTACGCTCTTATATACGTAGATGAAAAATATCAGATGTTTAGGAATGTGGGGCCAAGAGCAATGGTTTAAAATGATACTTGCGGATCATAGTCTTAACTTTTTGGCGAAAGTTAGTTTAGCAAATTTTTCCTCTATTTTTTTTGATCCACTTCTTTTTAGTCTATCAATGAATTAAATATATTAACTTTATACTAGGAGCAATCGATTCATTTATCGCATTTGGTTTTGCCAACTGCAACTACTTTTCAATTACCAACCATTAACATATATGGATTGAAAGTTATTAATTCTAATTTACCGGCTAAGAAAAATGAAGTACTTGATATTGTTGTTAGAGTTGGTACTGTAAAGCAGATATTAATGCTTGACATCTTGACGTATCTTCTAGTTGTCCAAAAATCATTTTTAGAGGTAATTGTATGTATTGCTACATCTTATACACTCATAGCTATAATCGCATAAACAACCGTAGTATAAATGAAACGATATTAGTTATCAAATTACTATGTAAAAATGTGCGAATTTAACAACCTATTGATACCTTCTCTAGGAAATAAATAAAGTGTTGGGTATGGTTTACTCTGATAATCAATTAATATCAACTGGATCATCAAAAGCTACCCCGAAAGCTGATAAACGGGATGACAATCAGCTACTGCTATATTCAGTGAAACTTAAAATGGAGGTACTCTAATAACTACGATCATATCCGTATTTTTAAAAATTTTTGGCAAACGATTCCCTTCAGATTACAGCATTTAAATCTTACTATGAATTATTTGATGCTTGTTATAGTTAAATTAGCCCCATTAATTATTATTATATTATTATTATTATTTTTATTATTATTCTTGCTATTATTAACCTTATTATACATATACTGTATGCATTGCATAGCTTTAACCGTTATAAATTATTCCTCTCAAATTTCAAAGGAGATCAACTTGACCGCAAGAACTGCAACTGCTTTTGCCGTCAGACTGAATACTGGAAAAATAGAAGGAGAAATAGCAAACTTCTTGTTTATAGAAAATAGAAAAAAAAGTAAGTATCATTCGCATTAACATATGGTACAATTGGTATGAATGTGTGATTGTCCTTATGTATATATATGTAATACTATCGGCATTGAATGGTATCTTTGGCCAAATAAAGAGATTAGATTGCTTCGCAATTGGTTAATTTTAATGTTCCCTAAATTTAGAGCAAATATGGCGAAAATTGCATGGCTTTTTACAATTGAAGATTCGCTTATCTTTAGGCCAGCTGTCAAAGGTATGAATAGACACAATGCAATAAAGATGCTACTATATTCCTAAAGTCTTAAAATGCCGCGGAGTTGATACCATTATATTTAATAGGTGGATAACATGTCAATAAATACTGATCTAAAAGCTACGGAAGATTTGCTCGAACTTGCGTATTTCGATACTTCAGTTGAAATTCGAAACGCAATCCATGTAATGCTTCAATTCTTAAAAAATTACGTCTTCGTATATTGCGTTTCATTTAATCAGCTTTACTTAATTTTTTCAGGAAAGCATTTTACAACAGTCAGCAAACAAGGAAACGTTTTTAGTAAATGCCATCAGACCGTCGGTCTATGTACAATCGGCTGCCTTTAACAAAGGTACCATAGTTATTTCGATACCAATTTAATGCTGCTTCTCAGCAAATACTTTAAAAAATTCGGTTTATTTCAAAGCTTATTGAAGTGCTTATATTAAGCATACGTATTAATACTTAAATCCTTTATAGCCGTAATGCTATACATAAACTATAAAAATGTATACGAAAATTGGCTGGAACAACGACGCACGTTGGCTTCCGAGGTGATTATAGTATAACTACAGCTAATTTGAATGTTCTATTTTATGTAGAAAATAAATTAATCTTTAAATCTTTAACAGTTTCGAACGATTAGTCCGAAAGTACAACCGAAAGCTAAAAATCTTGGTGATAATGAGAGATCCTCATCTGTTTTCCTTCAACTAAATGTATTAAACTTTGGTATATGCTTGCCATTAACAAAATCAGCGGTGGTAAGGAATTACTCAAGAAAAAACGCCAGTTGATTGATATATTATTTTTAAATAATTTTATTATTATTTATGCTATCATAATAGCCTGCTGACCCATTTTTGCGAAGTCGCGATTACGGTAATACCAGCAAAAATAGATGGTTTACTTTTTACAAAATAGTGGCAAATACTTATCTAGCTTGATTACTTATTCTATTACGTAGAATCCAATCCCGCGTTATTATGTACTGTTGATAGCATGCTGATTACAGCATGTAATAGTACATCTTTGGCTGTTCGAGGGCATTTTAAAGCATTATGCATTCGCTTTACTGATAGTATGGGAACAGATTCCAAATTTTGGGCTCCTAATCTGAATCAAGATTGTATTATGAATTCATGTACGTTAATAGTAAGTAAATATATCTTGCAGTATTACCAAGCTGATTTTCCGATTTTCATTACATTCTTCTAGGTATTGTTCCTGATGGAACTTATGAGTGCTGTTCAAAGTCGGAACGATATAAATCAGGTAAAATTACGTTCTTTTTACATTGGAACCGAAAGAGTCGTATCTGATTGCAAAAATTATTATTAAGGGGAATCTCATCAAAGTGCTGGTAAATGGTCTGTTGTATTTTGTTGGAGGATCTTTGGTATCAACATGAGCTTTGACCAAGATATTGGCCGCTACTTATCACTTCTTGGAGATGCTTTAACATTAATGAACGAAGCAGATGAAACTTCAGACATTGGTTCAATCACTGATGAGAGCGATGAATTTGTAGACTCATTCGAAACGTTTGATGACCGATACGAAGACTATGATGTTATGGATAAATATATTATGGGTATATCACATGAGCGGTACGCATAATATATTTTATATGACGATAATTTCAAGTGTTTCACCTTATAGAAGGCATCTCCTAAGCTGATATAAGTTAGAAATCTTGTTACTAATGTACTTTCGCATTTGGTACCTTATAGTAGACGACAAAGAAATATTAATAATTCCACTAGCAGTGAAGAGAATTTTGACTATAGAATCGCTGACGCAGAAAAGTTTCCGGATAGAATCAAAATTAAGCAAAGTTATGGCGATCACAAAAAACGATCAGAAATTTCGAAGATCAATAAATTGAGGTTTCTATTTGTATTGACAATTTAAACAATAATTACTGTTGACCGAGACATACTATATGGTAAATTGCTTATTATGTTCGCAGCTGAGCAAGCATAATGAATTAATCTTACTATAATATTATCTCCTATTTAGGGATACTGAAGCTAATCAATCTATAATTGACGAAGATTTTCGGCATTCACATTTAAGTAAAGATTTTGAAAAAAAAAGAAGAAATCGAATGTCAACTCTCGAACGTCAAACAGGAGGTGATACGGCCAAGATACAGAAGCACCGAAGAAGGCTTTCAGGTAATACAGATATGATAATTCCACAGTATCTTTGAACTTCTATTTCAGAGTTTCGTGACCTAATCTTGTATATACAATGCAATAATTTAGTTGGCAAAAAAATATTTAACTACCGGCGAACTAAACATATGAGTTTGCTAGCGTCTGGCTATGATGGTGACATTGAACGTGAAAGTGGTAAACCGTTATCTCAAATGTTGGAAACGAATCGCAACGAAGACTTTACGGGTCATGTAGTAACTGGAGCATCTGGCAACGATACTGTTATTGAAATACAGCCGGATACTACAGATTCTCAAAATAAGAAGAAAAAAGTATCAATAAAGGAAGATCCGGTAGCAATACTAATATCCAGCAAGTGTTCATACTTAATTTAGTAAGAAGTTATTAACATACAGCCTTCATTTAATTATTTAGGCATGTTACTTAAGCTATGACGAAGGCGACCAAGCTCCATCCGTAGCCGGATCTTTTACTCAATCCAAATCATCCACTGATATGAAATTTGACTTTGAACTCGATGTTGTACTTCAGACCGATACAGGAAAATGTACCCTATATAGTCAGTCTATGAAACAAGCAGATGAGTACGGAAAAATTAGATCAATAATTTACGAATTTCATTTAATGAAAAAGTACGCTTAACTTTAAAACTTTAATGTCATTACTAGAATGATACGTAAAAGATCGCATACAAGAGATCATCTAAAGTCGAGTAAATGGAGGTCTAGGAAGGCTATTGGATCTGTTTCGTCCGCTCAACTTGAAAGCACAATATTAATGATGCCAGACATCGATATAAAATTACGCTATACTACGCTTAATCAAAAGGATGAAGATGAATCTAATAAGCAGTATCAGGTAATACGAGAATGCTACGAAATGACAATAGTTATACAATCGTTATCGGCTGGTAATTGATTTAACTTATTTTTCCCCATGACTACTACCTAAATAATATACCAATTCTCTCGAAATAATATGAAATAAACTAAATTCATATTTTTAGCCAAGTAGTTTATCCGCGGATACTGGCTCTGAGTCTTTTGGAACTTCAGCTGCAAAGTTGAAAACTGTTGCTACTTTACATTTATGGCTCTACCTTCATTCTTTAGCTGATGAAATCATCTTAACACCTAGTTTGGTTGACTTTCTTGAAGGAGCACTTGGAGATTTAACTCCAGCTGAAGAAATATTATCTCGGCGTAGTTCAGTTGATATGTTTTACAATCAAGATATACACTCACGTGAAAGTATTTCGAGTGAAGAAGATGAAAATTCTGTCCTGACAGCAAACAGAACGAGTTTATCTAATATAACCTCTTTTCCGGTTAATGCATTTGTATATGTTCGCGTCGAACCCCTCGATATTCGTTTAAGTTGCATGCCTGTGTCGAGAGTAGAGTGCTTATTACAACTGCCATCGTTAGATTTGATGTTTACCAGTCATTCAGAGAAGAAAGTCAGCATGGCTCCTTATATTGGCTTGGAAAGCTGCGCTGTATCATCTGGAAATTCATCAGGTTAGAAATTAAGAGTATTTTTAGTAATAATCGCCTATATTAGGGTGCCAAGTGTTACAAATAAATTTTATGAATTACGATTAAATGTCTATTATTGTAGCATCGCTGTCCGAAAATATTCCTCATGGAACTTGCTCAACAGTATCTTTTACGGGATATCTTGAACGCTTTTCATTTTCTATATTTCATCCATATGGTCGTCAGCATCAACCAGGAGGACGTGCTAGGAATAATAGTTTTGCATCGTCGCGTAGCAATACTGATGGCAGAGATTCTCTAAGTTTGCATGTGGAATCGGCAAAAGTTAGCATTACCAGAAAGCGGATTATAATATCTCAAAACGAACGGTCCAGTAATAAATTTGATATTACTGACCTTGGTCGAGCTTCGGATCCATCTGCTAACAAATTTCGTGTTAAATATCACACCGCAGGTAATTAATTATTATTGCAGTTTTTTTGTATGTAATAAAGTACTAACTATTATATGCATCATAATTTCTCTTTTGTATTCAAGGATTATTCGATATTAAAAGCGCTGAATTCAACTACGATATGAGAGGATTATCTGAAATTCTTGATGTTCCCAAAGCTTGGTATCGAAATTCTATTGCCAGACGACTGTTTTTGGGTAATGTCGGTGACAGCAGCAACACGCAGACACGATCCAGTGAAACTCCTCAGAGTAATTGGGCTGGTTAGTATTTTGTCGATAATTTAATGGGTGATTCAACGCAGTTTGATTATTGTTGTGCTTTGCTTCTTTCAAGATGGCAAGGAAGCAATGTTCGAAAGGCAACATAGTAATGAATTTAAGTTAACAGTTCCAGCTATTGAAAGGCAGAAATCAGAAAGTATAACCGATTATGACTCAATGTTTGTATTAGCTTGTAATTTACAGCAGTTGGTCGTAACCGCAAATATGGGCAGCATTATGGGACCTACAAAGTAAGTTAACCGGCAAGATATTATATTAAGTATTACACTGAAATTTTCCAATTTGTGTTTAGTTGGAGTACAAATGAAGTTAAATGTCGCACGTGTCTGTATGTTGGACACTCTGGTTACAATAATCTGGACGCACAGATCGCAATCGGTAGGAGCTCTATAGATTCTCGAAGTGGTACCGTTGGCGGTTTGATAGAATTACAGGAATTCTCGGTGTCTGGTAAGGGTTTAAACAAAAAATTTACTATTCCCAATTACGTAGCGATAATTTCAAATTTTCAAATTAGATTCATTGTATGCACAGTATAATGATCGATATTCAACTTTTTAACGAATAGGGCAATTTCGTGACAATTATGATTGGCAGCCGCAAAATGCGATTTCCCTAAGTTTGCTATTATTAGATGCGAGATTAGATTATATGAGTACTCCTACCATTATGGCGCACTTAACTAATCTTAAGGCTAGCCTATATGATAAATGGAACATCGTTACCACGCAAGATCCAGAACTTAGTTCAATCGGCTCTATGGGTATTAAATTCAGTGAATCCCCATCAATTACCCTTCATGGCAATGTGCAATGGTGTGAATTATATGCAGCGATCTCGCAATCGAGCCCAACAAATCTCATTAAGATTATCTTTAAACTTGAAGAATGCTTTAGAAAACAGCAACGGAGTAGCAAGCGAGCATTAGGAGGACGACGTCAATCACGTATGCGCGGTAGTTCGATATATTCAAGCAATCGTGAACAATCATTGGAAAACTCTGTTCATCACTGGATTCGACCGTTGAGAGTGTTAAATAAGATTATATTTAAATCTGGCCTTCCTCCCTTGGATCTTGCTAAAGTTAATCTTGAAGGAAATTTTTCCTTATATGGAAGTTTAATATCTTTAGCATGCTTTGATGGCCTTAATTTTACGGAGAAAGTGTGGAGTCTTTTCTATTTGCAACGACCTGCAGCAAGTTTTGTAACTTCAATTTCCTTTTCACGTGATAAAGAAGTAATTGCTCGTGTAAAGCATAGTTTAGATGTAAATATAGGCAACAGTAAGGTTACACGTGATGATAGTAAAATGCATCGCCTACCTTTTCTGCCTTCTTTGGCTGGCGTATCACAGACGGCCAAAGTTTGTCGCATCACTCGATTTAAGCAACGTCCACCGAATCACGGGAATGTACAAGATTGGTTAGTATACGCCTGTGTAACACCAATTGCTGATAGTGCTACGAGAAGGCACTACAGTCCTCAAATGGGCGGATTTGGAGAGCGAAAATTTGGGACTATGAGTAGTAAAATGCGACCATCAAGATTACGAGGGATATATCTAATGCCAGATGAACGCTATGAATTGGATGTAGAAACTGTCTTTTCGTTTCCGGAAACTAAACTTACATTAGAAACAAATCATACCATTCCAGCACTGACATTGCGAGATCTGGATGGGGGTATGCAAGATGATTTTATTATATTAGCGATTTTATTTGATACTAGTACAAAGAGTATTTGATGATTAATTATAATGGATATGTAACTTCATCGTATTAATTTTTTTGTTTAGAAAATGACCGAGAAATGACGATTGATACCTCATGTAATATCACGTTTGAGAATAGTATTTGGCTTTCACAAGACGTTAATCATTTTATCTTTCTGCATCAAATGATTAATAATTATATCAAGGGAGAAGATGATCAAGGTATACAAATTCAACGCTAATTTATGCAGTACAATTTATTGCATTTTTATTGTAGCGCTGTATTTCATGTTTCACTGATTGCTGTAATATGTATATGCAATTAGAAGCTGATAAGCCGCGATTTGTTTCCCATCGAAATTTTGAGAGAAAATTTGAGCGAGCAGAGAACACATTAAAAATGCTGCAAATGCGTCGATTTACTTGCAGTCACTGGTATCTAGACCCGAAGATTCAATTTCTGTCATGGGCAGGAGAAAGAACTGACCCTGTCGGCATCGATTGGGTTTTAAATAAGTTAGGATTTGAAAATGCCCATAGCACAATACCGAAATACTTGCAACGTGGTTTACTGGATCCAATGGATGTATTTGTTGCACTCGTTCTCTATGAAATTATTAAAGATAATAATAAGAAGAATAGCCAAAGCAAATGAGCTTACTAACTTAGGATTTGTTTTATCCGGAGATTGAGTTCGAAAATAATTTTTAGCAATAGCAGAACTGTTTCATTTAGAATCGGTGGATTAGATCCGTAGATAGGCTGAGATAAAAATGGAAATTGAAATTTCTTGCTTAATAGATTTGTAATCTACCTTACGTAATGAATGGCTTATTTTGATCATGCCAATGTAACTAGTGTAATTAGATTTCAGTTACATTTAAGAGAGCATATTTCTATGATATTAAGGATTATGTTAGTAGATGTAAGGAAGCGTTTGTGCTCTATTATCATTAGTAAATAGGGATTTATCGGGGATTCAGATCTGCACTAAAATAGTAAATGTAATATTGAGAAATTTATGTTTAAAGTTGTACTCATAAACGAAAAATTGTCAAATAGTCTTTTTTGTGACGCAAATTATCCTGCAACCAAAGGTTGTTATAGCTAATAGTTTGATTTTCCGACTTACGAATTTATTCCTTTTATGTTTTAGTTCTCTATACTGGTACTAATGGTAAATCATTTTCTTATTTTGAAAATGTTAAATTTAGTTTTTATGCACCTGTATTACTGGTATCTCATTTACATACGCCTATTTAATTAATACGTTTAATGACACAGTATTTATAAATGAAATGTAACAGATATTGTAATGTACATGGACCTTTATTATTTGTAATATACTACTGTGGATATGTTGGCCAGGCATAAGTTTTTATACCTTTACACTTGCTACAAGTATGTAAATAACACGGCTTGTATATATATTTATATTAGATCCATTTTAAAATTTTACATGTTACGAAGGTGCCGATAACTTTGGATATTCTAAAAGAGCAAATTTTTGCATAATGTATTCCTAGTCTAGTATGAAAAATTTTGAAAATTTCAGGTTTATTTGTCACGATTTAAATATAGCATTTTATAAAATAAAAATGTTTCTGAAATTAGTGATTAGTTATGATTGTTTAGCAGCGGCGATAACAAGGATGACGTTTGGGTATCTTTGGTTATGGACTAGTAACAAGTCAAAGTCCGCTGACAATTTTCGGAGGAGGCATATTCGTTACCATCCATTTTGTATGACCTCTGCGATGTTCTATTGGTATTGTAGGATCTTTAGGGGGTTGGCCTTCTTTTAATTTCAAAAAGTAATGACAATAGTATGTCCGCTGGACGCCCGCTCTACCTTTCCCATGATATCGGACGCCTTTTAAAATTAGGCCTCGGCCAACGGTTGATTCTTCTATAAAAATCATGAAGAGAGTGGTTATCGATTTTATCGAATGTATTTACTAGGGACAGACAATGGCAGTTTCTACTCTACAAGTACAACGCTATTCTTAACTGAAGAATATGATAAAAGAAATTAGTTTAATCTGTCGCTTAATATTTAGAAACGACCATCTATGTTATAAATGCGGTATTAAAATGGAATAAAATCGATCAACTTGCTGCTCCTTACCTACAAATAGTTGATTGGGATCAGTGAGGTTGTGTTCTTTAGCAGCTTCTTCTTTAGCTTGCAATATAACCTATCGAAATTAGTGGTGATGAAAGTTTAAAATGCTAGGGAGGGCAAGCTATTTTATTTTTGATTTGGCATATGAAGTAATTGTACGCGCGTAATTATCACGCATGTCCTTAACATATGCATCAGCAAGTAGTTCTATATGATGGCTTACCCGTAAAATTGGTTTGGCTAATCTTTTAGGTGAAAATTGCATTTGAGCAATTGCATCGTCAACGCGCATTCGCCGTATCTGTAATAATTAAGTATGTATGCAATAGAATCGATTACCGAAATCGTTGATTTTTTCGTTAAATTGGCTGCAAATGCAGCACTATCATTGTGTAGTCTAAAGGCTAAAAATAGCTGGACAACTTACCAATCTAGCTAATAAGTTCAATTTCCTAGGACTACCTCTAATATTGTGTTTACTGGCATGTATCACCTGTAAAAGAATATATTTCATTGGTTATAGTGAATAGAATAGGTTTTGATTATTGATACGGGTGGTCAATTTTAATTGGATATTTACGATTACAGTATATAGTACTACAATCCAGATGTGCGAGCAAGAAAATAGAGAGCCCATGATGACTTTATGGGTGTAGTAGTACTGCTGTTATGGGCAACAATTGTATTTTTAAAGCTAGCGACAGCATGATTACTAACTAGAATGCGTCCGATGAAGCATCGTAACGCTAAAATGAAGGTACTACAACCTCATTTCCTGAAACTTCCTTGTTTCATCTCGAACTAAACTACTGTACCTACTCTACTGACTTTCCCGTAGGTTTAAGGTCTAATTCCATTTTTGATAGACATGCAATGTGCTGTACTGGAATATTTGAATCTAAATTAGATCGAGGTACATTATCGTTTATTTCCTCCAATTCGTAATCGTCTGACGTCCATACGTCATGGTTTAAAACAGTCAATTGGATCATGTAAAGTGTTTTAATAGAAAAATGAGTTGATCGTTGTTGATAAGCAACTAGAATATGACGAAGGTATTGTGCTGCAATGGCATTGATGGTCAATGTTGGAAATTGACTTTGCTAAAACGAATCCTTCTTGACCATTTGTATATTAGTAGTTTACAACTTGCAATACGACCACTACATCATATAGAGAATGGACTTATTGACGGTTGATGGCTATCAAGGTAGAAAAGAAGCCATAACAAGATGTCAGTTATCCTACTTACAACTTTGGGTGGTGCCTTATGTTTGATCAGGTAATCATGTTGTAATGCTCCAGCTAATTTGGCTTGCAATAACCGATTGTCAATGGTTGGTACAAATTGAACTTTATATTTGACCAGTGATTCATGATAACTTTCGATAGGCTTTTTTAAATAATGTTTACCACAACAAGATGATGTAGTATGGAGATGGCGATTGTTGATTCTCTCTATTGAGCTGCAAGTCGCCGGGATGGCAGTGGTTGGCAAGCCATTTTGGTTGTTGGCAAGGTGGTGCCAACCTAACCGAACCAGACCTAGTAGTGAGCAAAACACACAGTAAGACAATTTCTACACCTGATAAAATACAGCTATCCTATAACAACAACAATAAGCATCTGCATCGCCATTGAACTATTTCACCAGCCAACCTAAAGGGTTGCAAACTCTCCATTTCAACGCCAGCATCTTCAAGATGGCGTCCACTCCACGCTGCTATCCAAGTGCTGAGCTCAATCGCCTTGGCTATACCACTTGATCCACAGTATTGGTATGGAATATTACCGCCACGATCATTGGCATGAGACAGTCTACTAGCTCTAGCAGTTACAGTACAGTACTGTAGTAGGTAATACTGTTGTTAGTATGAACTCTAAATAGTAATAGTGTACTGTACTGTACCCAACAGTGTATCGTACTGTACTGTATGTCATATATATACTGTAGGATGGTCTAAACGTCTGTACGTCTGTAGCTTAGCAGTCCGATTTGGGCCATTAGTATACTGTATCAGAGATGACTGAAGAGAGTGGGACATTGACCAACAATCTACGATGGTCGGCAATATTGATTTCGTCAATGAAAAGTCCGTTTCTGTCCCTCCGCAGTCCTTCTCGTTGTCATGGACGACTAAGGTTAAAGTCGAGCCCTAACCCTTTTTCTACCATCTATCTCTCTCTGTCTCTCTCTCTCTCTCTTTTACTTTAGAATCCCGGAATTAGAGAGAGAGAGAAAAATAGAGAGGCTGGGAGACTAGACTTGCTAGATTCAGCATGTAGACTTGGCTATCAATTTATTCTTCTTTTACACCAACGAAGGTGGTGAGATTATATAAAAGCCTCCAAGTTCTAAATGGTGCGAGTGGATCAGTTAGTGGATAACAGATGGTTCTTAGTGATGAGCAGTAGATAGTCTGTTGTGACTTCAATCGATCATTTTAATCTATCGCTTTTACAATAAAGTTTGGATTCTTAGCGTGAGTATTCTATCGTCTAAGACTCCAATGTGGCTTTGGTAGATTAAAGAGTGTTTACAGTCAGTTGCTGAGATCGTTAAGACAACTGTAGAGGAAAGAATCCCGTCAATTTGGGTGTTGCAATCTTGGTTGCGACATCATTACTATTAGCTTTAATGATAGGTTAATATAGGGAAATCAACATGCATAATAAACTACAACCAAGAAATCATGACTATTAGCTTTAACTTTCTGTTTAAAAGTTAAAGAGTAAGAACGACAATTGAGTACAGCACGATACGATAGGAAACCGCTAACTCGCCTAAACTCGTCCGTCAAGTGATTTAGAACTATTACTGTACAGTGTAGAGTACTGTCGAAAACTGATGTCATGGCTAAAAGAAAAAAATACAGACCGGATATATCACTGTAATTATTTGTTCCATGATAGAACTGACTCAGGCCAATGTCTATGACTGTAGAATCGGATAAGGAATCAATTTTAAGCTATCATTACTCTTATTGTAAACTTCTTCATTAAAGATTGCCTGGCATTAACGATATTCTATCGCATAGTCTACTATCATCAGAAACTCACTAAACTGAATAATTATCATCCATCATGTAATCAACAGAATGATATCGTTTCTTCAAGAAGTATTTCAAATCGATTTATAGGGCAGCAGTAGGGTAAATAAAGATCAACCAAAGTCTATTCACTCAAATTAACTTCGTGTACTTGAATTGATTTGAATAACACCTGGATGGTACAAGTATAGTAGGTTATCGTATGTACTATCCTAGTAAAACGATTCCTATCAGTCACGGAGTAGTCGGACGAGTAGCAGATACGAGAAAAGTTGTGTATGCAGTTTGCCGTTGCTTCCATGATACTCCAGATTGTGTAGCTGCACTGGAGAGTCATGCAAAATTACTAAATAACTATCCAATAAATATAGGTAATGGAAAGCATAAATAGAGTATGAAAAATTTCTATGATATTCTAATTCATCCCTTCCGACCTGCTGCGCCATTTTCGTAAATTACGTTGAACTCTTGCAAACGGCTGGTAGCATGCACGTTGCCAGTAACAAAATGCATGAAAATTTGTCCATGCTTGCAATGTCAAAAGATAAGATTAATAATCTCACGCTAGAAAATTTACTCAATTAATTTATTAAATGGAAGTAATGTATACTCTAGTTAGCGCTTATTGTATCATTATCATGGAAATAATTATCTGATAGTTTCCCCGCGGCAAACAGTATGCACATATTATCCATCCTGAATGATAATTGTATTACTGCAGAATATGGAATGACATTATGGTTGTGACGCATTTCTTCTAAAATGTTGTATTACCATAGTAAAAATTGATCTAATGTAATTCTTGAATATTACTGTTGAAAGTTTAATGACGAAAATATAAAGAAACAATATAATAATAAGAGTACGATGATCATTCTTCTATCATGGAGAATATAATAATCAAGCCAAATATCTACCAGTTGGTATTGAATCTCCTCTACACATACAATCTATAATGATGAGAAATTGCCTATCTCACGTTAGTTTTTGAAGGATGTCTTACACGAGTACGTTAAATTATACAGCTTTAATAGTGTCCACTTCAAGCATAAAGTATTACCGAGGCCAACATTGCCTACAGAGCCTTAAGACCAATTTCAAATCTAATACTAAGCAGAATAATCTTAATTTTAATCAATTATCAAAGTGAATATAATGGATATGATTAATGCTAACTTTCCACTTGAAAATTGAATAGCATTAACAGTATTGTTGCCTATTTTGTCGTAATGAAGCTAAAAAAATCGGCTACAGAGTTATTGTGCGCAATACATAATCATTTCCTTCGGAATTTTTCGTTTTATAGTTGTTGCTATACTACGTAGGATAAACAAAGTCTATAGAAGATACAATAATTCAATTTCCGTTCATTCTAAATTGGTAAAGATTCAAGATAGTGTGTATGCATTGTACATTAATGAATAGTCACTAAATAATAATTCAATGAATAGCAACAATTTTGATAAGCACATATAACATTCAATCTACATGTTGAGTGGGTTTACGCGAGAATTTACTTGCTTCTTCAATTTATTCATTCCAAATTGCTTCAACATTATAAATAGTCCAGCTGAATTCTTAGAAATCGCTATTAGTATGCACATTATTAATAAATATGAACGTATGCCTTTCACATCGGTTTCAAAAATAATCATCACGACGATAATTCCATACGAGCTATACTATATATGAATAGTAATCTACACTCTCGATAGTGCGCATGATATGCAATGATCATAGAAATGGTTATGGATAGATTCTATCGTAATTATAAGCAGCAAATATAACCGTGTCGACAGCAAATTAAGGACATGCTTGATGTCAAAGTGCTCCATCTGAAATCTTTTATTACTATATTTATAATTAAACTTTCCAATTCTTGCATATTCCTGTTAAGATTTGCTAATCAACAGTAGTAAGAGAGCGATGAAAATAGAGAAGAAAAATAGAAAAATAATAATAAATGTAACAAAGTATAGATTATAATAATTAGGCCAACCCACTACTAGCTGACATCGAATCTCTATGTATGGAATTCATAATGATAAGGATTTGGCTATCTGTCTTTAGTTTAGGCACAGAATGATAAATTAAGAATATTTTCAAAGGGTATATCTAGAGATCCAGTAGGATATTTGCTACCCTGACGTCAAGGATGAAATAATGGCAAGTTTAACCTTGTCAACGAATGAATCCGTTGTAACTCCAATACTTCCTAGAATACTTTCAAGAATCAATCTTGATTAATTAGCCAACATAGGCCATAATTAATAGATTGCATTGAATATTTTAGTTTAAATTGTAGCCGATGCATCAACAATCAAGTGTGATCATATCAGGCTAATCATATTCCTTTTTCGTCAGTAATGTAGACAAAAGACTATCACTAATAGTGTATTCTTGCTATTATCCTTTTCCGGTTACATGATTAGTTGTTGTTCGAAGAGATTTTTATAAATTATTATAAAACCAAGCGTAAACTATTTCAAACTTTAGTTGTAATCCAAAGTTGCAGCGCATTGGATTCAATCTCAGCAATTTACAACAATGTTCTCGTATCAGAGACGTCTTGCATTGATGTCAAATGTAGATGATAATCGGTATTAAATTGAAAAGGGAAATATTTATTAAAATTATTTTAGTTTCTGCCAGTCAAATTTATAGTTCCGATACTTCCGTTAGCGATTTTGAAAGGGTTGTTGCAGTTCAGTATTTTTAACGTATTGTATGAGAACTATTTCATCCGCCGATGCGGTAAATTCTCCAGGTACTCCGACTAATGTACTAATTGGACTACTTCTACGCAAATAATCAATACCTGACCGATATCAGTTAGTCCTAGGTTTACTCTTTATTTGAGACCAAGTAATGATCCAAAACGACGTTGAATATTATTTGACTTTAGGGTCTAACTGAGGCAATCTAGATTACGATGGATCTCACTACTGTATCTAAATCAAATAGCGCACACGATGGTGCTTAGACTTCTCAAGCAATTATAATTACTTATGATTGCCGGTAACTGGTAACTACTAAATGCAACCCTGATGAGTTGACTGACTAGAATCGCATCAGTGGGATTACTAAAAACCAAAAGACAGCTGTAAGTTGTACAAGTTTTTAAATATGATGAGTGCAGACGTACTATATTACTACGCACTAGCGCGGTAAGACTAGCTATCACAAACCGATTCGGTCAAAATTGTAACAAGAGCATCCGTGTTAACTCTAAATTTAGAAATATTCATACGCGTATTAATAACTGAAATGTAATAAAATGATAACACGATATGACGCGATCAAACTCAAATGGGAGCTAAAGATGATATCTTGCACTCTACAGTACAGTAAATGAATAGTCCATTTTAGGCGATATTAGATATTGAACTGAAATTGAAAAATATTGGTAAAACATATTAGAAAAATTTTATAGTCCTGTCAACGGCCATGAAAGGGTATATGATCAATCTAGAAATGACAATATTAGATACCAAATTCTTATCATAATAACAGAATAGACTGTAGCAAAACTGAAATATAACCTAACCACTTTATCTTTCTTACACTAAATCAGAAATCTTAAGTATTGACATATAGTTTCGGTAGATTCTGTTAGACTACAAGTCAGAGTCAACATTACAATGCG